TGGTGGTCCATTGAAAGGAGTAATTAATGCTTTTTTCCTATCCTTAGTTTTTTAATAACTTTATGACCAATATTTGCATGCTTATATCTGGTAATCTGGTTTTTTTTTCTTTTTTCTTTTCGTATTTTTTAAGGAAGGGTCTACAGGGTGTTCAGGGTCTCACTACTAGATTGGACTCCTAGTGATCCGTCTGTTTACAGCCTCCCAAGAGCTGGGATTACAGGCAAGCACCACCACACCCAGTCTCAATTACCATCTCAGCACGCCCCTGGGGATGGGGCTGGCACAGCAGGCCAGGGGATCAAACCCCTGGCCTCCATTTCTGCTTGCAGTTGCTTTAATGTGCTGAGCTATTTGGCCAGCCATATATCTGGTAATCTGAAAAACTAATTTGTAGAGAACAATATACTAGATAATAACCATTGCTGAATTCTTATTATCTTGTTTAGTGAGATTCTGTATCATTTCTAATGTTTTTTCTTTACTTTCTTTTAAAAGGAAAGAAATAAGCTATGTTTTGTTTACCTTGAAGAATAGTGCTTGATGAAAAACAGGTTTAATCCTGGGATGATAAAATGAAATAAATGAGGGTTTTTTTGTGAAATTTGGACTCTATGGCCATTTACATTTTTTTACAATAATGTTTTAGAGGATTTTTAAAAACAGTTATGATCATTGTAGAGCATTTGTAAAGCTGAGAAATATACTTAAAATATGAAGTCACCAATAATCCTGCCACTGAGACAGAACAACTATTAACATATTAGTGTGTTTTAACCATTTTCTTATGTCTTCTTGCAATACCAGCAGTTTAGCCCAGGGTCCTTACATTGAACTACAACCCCAGCCCTTTTCCTTTTTTTTTATCGAAAATCAAAATATATATTTTTATATATTGTTTAAAATAAAAAGGAACCTCTCTTTTGATACCCATGTTGGGAGTGAGGGAATATCAAACAGGTACTAATCAACTAGGGTCTGAAACAGCTGTTAAACTACCAATCTGTAGCTTCTATCATGAGTTCAAGCCCCAGCAAAAACCACCAGCAGGCTTTCTGCCAATGTTCTGAAGAGGATTACATGTGTTCCTTTAAGTGCTATAAAAATTGTAGCACCAGCTCTTTATTACTTCTGATTTCGTTCCAAATTATAGGTGTTTCCTCTTTCTTGATGCACTGTATCACAAGCAGTACTTAGGCTTAATGACTGTGACTAAGGTCATTTTTATTTATAAATGGAATGAAAAAGAGGAATGTAAGGTGTAATTGGGGATATATTGAACAGAGATGAGAAAGACTGGCATCAAAATTTATATGGAGTAAAATTATTAAGAGTAGATTTTTAAAAATTATCAGAATATTTGCAATACTTAATAGATGCATTTATATTGGAGAACTGGCCCATGTAAATTTCACATTTTGATCCTTTTTGCTTCTCTTCCTGCCCCCATTCCCATATCTCCTTCCCATCTCCACCAAATCTATCTTCCTGTTTCCTATCTTCTAACTTTGTTTTTGCTCCTTAAATTAATTATAGCCTGGATATTTAAAAAGTAAAAAAAATCATTAGTAGAGCAGGCATATAGACATTTATTTATTTATTTATTTATTTATTTATTTATTTATTGGCATATAGACATTTAGAGTATGGAAAAAACCTAGGGAAAATGGAGCAAAGAGATGTATTTGTTGAGAATCAGGCTTGGCTGCAGAGCAGGAAAACAAGCAAACAAAACCCACTAATCTGGGGAGGGTATAGCCATCTAAAAGAAGAGTTTTAGGGTGCAACAAATGTAATAACCAGTAACTGGTTTTTTTTTTCACTAAGGAAACAAAAACGGTTTGTGAGGACAGGTGCTTCAAATCCTAATCCAAGCACTAAAATACACTGTCTGAACTTCATTTAATATTTCTGCTGCAGTTATGTGCCATTTCCTTTTAGCCCATTCAGTGATTTCCTCAAGTACACTGTGCATCCCCTTTACATCCCATTATCTCCTTTTGCTCAAGACTTGGTTTGTGGCATGAACGTCCTATGAACTGCCACCTGTGGTTCCTCTTCATCCATGAAAGAACTGAAAATTACAAAGGAGTGAGAGTGGGAGGAAAGCTGTTTGGAGGGGATTGGATTTGGTTGTGGGTTTTTAACGACTAGGAAGAGCAACCTGAAGGTTTCTTGGCACTGTGTAGAAGCATATGGCATCGCAACCCTCACACACCATTATGCAAGAGAATCTCCTCTAAAATGATGTGGCTCTTACGTTTGCTGTGTTTATGATGTCAGAAACTTTGAGTTACTAAGTAAGCTGAGCTGCAGGTTCTCAGCCAGTAATTCTCAATGCTGGCTACAAATTTGAATTACCAAGAAAGCTTAAACATACTGATTCTCTGGTTCTTCTCTCAGAGAATTTTTATACAATTTGTCTAAGAGCAAAAACTGAGCACAGAGAATTTTAAAGCTCTCCTCTGGTGATTCTAACGTGCACACAGTCTGGAAAGCTCTAATTTAGCCCATTCTTACCCAAGTAGGATAAACCAGTTGTTCTCAAAGTGTGCTTCTGAACTAGCAGCATCAGCCTCAATAGGGCCCTTGGTAGAATGCAAATAATTGGGCTCCTCCCCAGATCTCCTGATTCAGTAAATCTGGAGGTGACCCCGGAACCTGTTTTGATCAAGCCCTCTGGATGATTCTCATGGGTGCTCTAGGTTGGCTAGCCATTAGATTCAACAGTCTTTCCTAGTCACATGGAGAGAAAATATTCTCTGAGGCTTTCACAAACAGCACACTGGCCAAGCAATGGCCGTGACTCATCCACATGGCTGACACTGACAAAGGATCTACAATCTGAGGTACAGGGTCTCAGGATAAATCCTGAGGGGATTTCACTGACTTTATCAGACCCACAAGCTACAACTCTTGTTGCATAGGTCTTGCTTTATCTTGATCTTAACCATCCAGCAGAAAAGTATAAAAATGAAGTACAAAAAATAAAGCCATGTTTTATGTTGAGCTGTAGGGGACTCAGGTCAACAACTTCTGATATTGGTGGTCAAGTGGAAGACCCAATACTATTATGGACTACTGGACTATTTTGGAATATTTTGCTGAGTTCACACACCTATAATATTTAAATGATGGAACTAAACAAAAATGGGGATACATACGAATGTCCATTTTGTATCTATGTATTCAAAATGGTTAGGAGAGATATATAGTTACATTCTCTTAATTCAAGGAATAGGGAGATTTGTTCTAATAGTGTTTGTAAATAGGATATCATTTCTGCATCTTGTACAACAAACAACCACTAGGAAGGAAGTATGCAATGTGTTAATTATTGGAACTGTCCTACCAATTTGATGTGAAACTGTCTCATTGCTATTTATTTCTCAATAAAATTATGGAAAGAAGTCTTTCCGGTTGCTTTCTAAAGTGCATCTGTAAATGTTCCTGGCAAATAGAAGGATTCTCTTCACTAGTGTATATAATCTGGCCTGGAAAAGAACTTTAATAAAAATACCTGTAATAATAATTAGGTACCACACAGAAAAGAGAAATGGGATAAATTGCTTCAGAGCTCACGGAAGTACAGGAGGGAGCACATCTTCATAAGAGTTAGGGACTCACTTGAACAGGCATAACCCTATGGCAGTACCTGCAGGCAAACTCCTATCTGTTCTTCAAAAAGCTGTTCAAATGCCAATCTGCTATTTGAAGCTGCTTCTGTGCTCTGGTGTAAAGTGTTCCATTCTTGTGTTTATTCAGCACTTTGTATAATCTTGTATTATATCTTATCTCTCTGTATTGTAACAATCTTTATGTCTCTTTCTCTGACAAAATTGTGTGATGCTTGAAAACAATATAACTATCTCTTTAATCTTTGGTTCTCCTGCATCTAATATAAATCTGACACATGCTAATTGCTCTAGAATTATTTGCTCAGGGGAAGCATCATAGATAGCCAGCTTCTTTTTTTCCTAAGTACCTTCAAACAGTGGGCTTACTTTCATAAATTAACAATAATCTTGGGTCCAACTCTTTCTTGAAGGCTGGGACCCTTGATTTTGTATTCACACCAGGAGATGATGATTCTCAGTTGTGTCCTTCCACAACAAAAATCTCAAAGCTGTATAATAATCATTAGTAACTTACGTTTTTATTTCTCTAATTATATAATCTACTGTTTCCATCTCATATCTACTCACAAATTGTCTTCAAATAAGATAGGCAGTTAGGGGACAGGGATGTAGCTCAGTGACACAAACACCTGTCTGGCAAGTGCAAGGTCCTGAGTTCAATTTCCAATTCAAAAAAAAAAAAAATAAATAAGAAAGGTAGTTAGTAAGTTACAGACACTTCCACTTCCCTTTGCTGAGATCACCTTCAGATCAGCATGACTGGACGTATGTTTGCTCTTCAGCTGTTTGGAGTCACAGGTTATAGGCAATCCGTTGGTTTCATTTCCTAGGTGCTTAATCACATATTCTTTATGTAGGAATTTTTACTGGCTTACATCTCAGAAGACAACCCTCTAACCTTATCTCCAAGTATTTGAGAGGTAGGACTCTTCAGGGTAACTTCAACTTCTGCCAGTAATAGTAGGCTAAATGTTACCCAAACTATGGAATGTATATCAGTATCATTCTTTACGATGGAATTTTTAATTGTTTTTAATGCTATGTATTGGTACAGGGTCTCGCTATGCAATTTAGACTCGTAGTGATCTTTTCTTAGCCTCCCCAGAACTGGGATTACAGGCGTGTGCCACCACACCTGGTTTCAGTGGCCGCCTGGGTGAGGCCAGCATGGCATGTAGTATTAGGACCAAACGTGGGTCCTTGTGCTTTCCAGGCAGGCACTTAGACTAGTGAGCTATCTCTCAGGCCCTACAATGGAATTTGAAAGCCCAGAGTACAAAACAGGAGAAAATTGACTTGCACTTTCTGTGCCAATTTATGACCCCTATGTACTAAATGGACTTTTCTATTTTTTTTCTTTAGGCATTATATCTGATAGCCACTAATGGAACCCCAGAGCTCCAGAATCCTGAGAGACTGTCAGCTGTATTCCGTGACTTTTTAAATCGCTGTCTTGAAATGGATGTCGATAGACGAGGATCTGCCAAGGAGCTTTTGCAGGTGAAAATAAAATAGGACAATTACAAAGACAGAGTTATTGTGCTGAGCTTTTCCATATCAATGTATGACAAGAAAGAGTTCTATCAGGATATCTGTAGTTAGAGTTAGAATATTAGTTACCATTTGATTTTAGACCACAGGCACATAAATATAGGCATGGCTCTAACACATGATTGATTAACATGTTGCCTTTCTTCTGAGAAGTTTTCAGCTTAATCTGTAAATTTCTTTCGTTCTTCCTGGAGTCTTATTTTGCAAGGAAAAAAAGCAGTGTGACCCTCTGGTGTTGCTGTTTTGTTCTAAACTTTACTTGTGCCCCTGGATGTTGTATGCAGGTGCTCTTGGCCGGAGGTAATTCTCTACATAACTATGCAATTATTTCCATGGCATTTGCTACTCTAATGCTTTACTGGTCAAAGCCCCTTTGCTTGTGATGCCAATTGGCAGGCACCTGCTTGCCTGGGTGAGTACCATCCAGTGGTGAGTGCCTCTGTAACCATTTGTCCTTTTCATGGCTTTCAGGGATTAGTATATACAATAATAATTAATACCTAGTATCTTACCACAATTTTTACACACAGTATAGTATCTCATTTAATTCTTGCCATAACTCTCTATAGGGTGGGTGCTGTTGTCCTATTTTCTAGATGTGGAAATTGAGGCTCCCACAGCTCTTGTGTAGCACAGCTTGGATTTGAGGCCTGGATTGTCTGACTTTCCACTGCACATCCCACACAAACCAGTACAGATAAAAGCGTGTATTTATCTTTTTAAAAAACAATAGTACATGCCGCGGATTAGCCACACAGCTTCATTGCTGAAGATTGTTCCTTGGGAACATACACCAAGACCTTCAACATCTGTGAGAACAATGACTGCTGCCATCTCTGTGAATTTAAATACGTAAGCTGATTTAACAGAAGGTGCAACACATGGCTATGAGGAATATTTAACACAGATTCGCTATGTTCTACACCTCCACCACCAACATCAAAAAAATCTGCTCCTGTTGCCTGTAAAGTCCCTGCAGTGACAGAGCAACAACCATGAAAAATTTATCTCAGCTTAAATCACACCTGGAATCAATCAACCGATAGGAGCTGAAGATCCTGCACCTTCTCTGTGCCGCTGCCCGTCAGCATTTCACAGGTTGTTGCGGGTGACTATAAATGACCCTTGGTTAATTCTCTACTGAATCCAGCTTTAAGTTACAGATAAAAACCTAAGATTTTGAGCAGTTCACTGCCAGGTCTTTTCACTCTTCCCACCGTGTGCATCCTGATATATATTTCTGTTATGCTTTTATCTAAGGATGAGTGAAGATACCAGTTTTTTAATGCAGCTATACAACTAAATAGATCATTGAATTGGTTACTTACGTAATTCACTCCTGAAAAGTACTTTTATCTTAACCAGTTACATAACTGATGCAAAAGTGCATTTGTAGTGTAAAATGAAATTTATCTTTTCGTTTTATACTTGTAAGCAATAACCTACCAATCTCAAGTCTATGTCTCTCCAGTCTGTGACTCTAGGCTGTTCTTGCCCACTTTAGAGGTCACAAAGGAGAGAGATACATAGCATTCATGCCCTTGAAAGGCTTGAGAAAAGGCACAAGTCCTGAGAGTTTGTGTGTCTTTCTTCATACACTAAATAGTTCACAGTTTATTAGATATTTATGGAGCAACTTCAGGTTGCAAAGAAAAGTGAGTTAACAAGTCTGTAAGTGGTATATCCCACTCTCAAGAAGTTCAGTTTCCTTGCATCTGTGAAAAGGTAATGCAAGACTGTTAAGAGGCCCATACAAACCAAGTGCTGGTCAAATAGTAAATATTAAATTGTTTAAAGAAATACGCCTGTAGAGCTAAGTTCATCAGAACATGTCAACAAATAAGAGGCCTTCCAGGCCTTGAAGGACAGATCAGTTTTAGATAATTTAAGTAACGATAGAAATGGGTTTCAGATGGCCAAGTTATAGCACAGTGAAAAGCATGCACACAGCATTAAAGGGAAAATGACAATAAATGGCCAAAATAAAGACTTCACCCAAAGAAGCTGCAGGAGATAAGACCTCAAGAAAAAGGCCATGAACACCAGGCTGAAGAGCTATGACTGCAAACAGCTGGGGAGCACTGAAGCTATCTGAGGAACTAAGATGATAAAAAGAAAGTTTGGTTTAGAGAAATTAATCTGTTAGTTTGCAATCAGGATTAGAATTAGAAAAAGTTGACGATAGGTTGAAACCACGAAAGAAAATAAACTCTGAAGTAATTTGGAGCCAAGTGTGGTGGTACATGCCTGTAATCCCAACGACTTGGAAGGCGGAGGCAGTAGGATGAAAGTTCATGAGCACGATCCCATCTCAAAATAAAAGATGAAAAGGACTGGATCAGTGACTCAGTGGTACAGTGTTTCTTTAACACATATTAGATCCCAGGTTCTATCCCCAGTACTGCCCCCCAAAAAAGAAAAGGAAATGAAAGAGAAGAAAGAGAAGAGAGAGAAGAGAAGAGAAGAGAAGAGAAGAGAAGAGAAGAGAAGAGAAGAGAAGAGAAGAGAAGAGAAGAGAAGAGAGCTGGAGGGAAAGACTGGACAAAGAAGATATTGCCACATTCTAGTATGCAGGAGGCAGGAGAAGAGTCAAACCAGAGAAAAAGATGGAGAGGAAGTAACGTAACCAGTGTGCATGCACAGTGCAATGGGGCGAGGCCAAAGCAGTACAATGTCACAATCCCCAAAAAGGAAATCTTTCAAAGGAGGAAAAGATATTCACTTGCTTTAAGTACCGCTAAGGAACAAGAAAAGAAATAGAGAGCACAGCTACTGGGTTTAGCAGTTAGGAAGATACTGGCTTCAGAGTACAGTTCTTTAGTGGCAAGCTGAAGATACTTTTCAAAAATGAAGGCTGCCCTTGATTTCTGCAATTTGTAAATTCATCCTTTCAAGAAAATCAGAAACTCAGAGCAGTACTAATTTAGTGGGATTTTACAGACTCCCTCCCCAGAGTTTCCAGTTATTCCAGTATGAATCCAGAGGATTTCATGACACTAAGGGACAAAAGTATTCAAAGAACAAAAGCTGGTGGCTACTTTTTAAATTAAATAATGTTTCATTGGGTGCTCACAATACGTTCTAATGATAAAAAGACAGCTTGAAAATGTAAATGTGCTTGTTGGAGGAAAGAATTCCACTAATGCCTCTCTTTTTTCTCCCTTTTGCAGCATCCGTTTTTAAAATTAGCCAAGCCTCTCTCCAGCCTGACTCCTCTGATTATCGCTGCAAAGGAAGCGATTAAGAACAGCAGCCGCTAGGACTGCAAGCCTTACCCCTCACTATCTCCCTCATGAGCAAGATTGAACTAAAACTTTGCTTCAGGAAAGATAGAAGAAAAGACAGTCAGATGGGTGGGGGTTCATTAACTTTCAAATGAATAGAAACTTCTTATAAGCCTTTTTTCCTATTCCCTCAGATTATGTAATTTATTTGTAAGCCTGAATCGCAGCCCAAACAGGGCAGCAATGTTGAAGTGGCCATCAAGTGGTCACTTCCACCGTGAAGCGAAAGAGCCAGTAGTGAATCCCCTCATTTTGTGCATTCACTTTGAAGAAAAAGGTTTCTCAAAGATGCACACTCCCTCTTCATAGTGTCGTGTTTGTTTTTAAGTTAGAGAGTAGTCCCTCTTGCATTCAAACCTCCTTCGAAACCCCTTACCCAATGTGATGTTTTCACTTGCATTGTCATTAGCTGTCCAAAAAAAAAGATGTCAAATGTTTTTTTAAAGAAAAACAAAAACACAAAGAAAAAAAAACAAAAACAAAAAAAAACAGCAAACAAAAAAATAGAGCAAGTACTGTGTGAATATGTGGAACTCCATGCCCTAATAGAGTTGCAATTTTTTATTCTTCTTCTATAGTGGTGGCTTTGTTTGTGTACCTATTTTTCTGCATTTGTACTGGAAAAGGTTTCTTTTAAAATGTTTTTGGAAAGCAGAAGGGAATATGTGTGTTCAGGAAGGGCTTTAGCAAATTCTGTATCTAAATAAAGCTCAAATGGTGAAATCCTGTCACATTTTCACAAGGATACTTAAGAGGTAATCTGTCAGGTAAACCAGCTTGTTAATTTTCATGATACTGAAAAAAGAACACACTGAAAAGGGCATCCTTTCTGGGTGAGCCCAGGTCCTGAACCTTGGAAACACTGATAGGTAAAACCATGACTTAAATAAAGATGGGACTTTCTCTGAAAGCCAAAAGGAAAATAGGACACATATATGACACTAAAATCCTTGTTGGACATTACAGTAAAAAAGGTAAAGACACATAATTTAAGACTCTCTCATGCTTGTGGAACACATGCACTGTAAAACAGGCACATCAGGAGGAAATATATCCATTACCCAGCATTTGTTTATGATGAAATGGTTTAACTTGCAATTTTTAACACTTTAGAATTTTTTTGAAAATAAAAAAAAAACATAATAACCATTCAACTCTAAGAAATGGGATATGAATGAAAGATACATCCCAGTCAACATTTGCTTCTAAACACTTCTTCCCATTTTTTCTGTTTGCCACGAATTTCTGTTGCAGAATATAGTGTGTTCATATTTAGCTCACTGGGCTTTTCAACTTCAAATTCCTATTCAACAATGACCTTAAAGTTATTTACTGAAAATAATTATGGCTTGAAATCATATATTCCATGAAATATCAGTCCAACTGAATTCCTTTTGTAGCTTGGGGAAAACACTAAAATTTGACTATTATTTCACCATTTATCTATTTCTTAAAATCCAGCAGTCACTACTTCCTGAATCTTCTGAGAGTAGAAAAGTACCTGGAAGGTGTATGTACAGAAAAGGATATGCTTCTTTTATTGTCAATTTTACAAATTTTGGAAAGTTGTTTCTCTAAACCTTTGAAGACCTAACAGTCTATGCTGTAGAAGACTTTTTAGTTTGTAGTATATAAGAAATTTGAATAGAACCTATCTACATTCAGCAAGAAGGAGAAAGGTCAATAACGTAGGTCTCTCTTCTTCTCTGCAAAGTACATCTATCCATGCATTCATCCATGTACCCATCCATCCATCCTTTCTTCAAAATGAAAGCATTTTCTTTAGAATTTCTACTACCCATATAGTGCATGTGTTTATGTTTAGAAGATATCATTGATGAATTTCCTATTGTTTCATTTGATTATAAAATTTGGGAGGGTCTTGACTGAAAAAAAATTGTCCACAGTGGGATAAAATAACAAATACGACAAGAAATCAAATGGTAATATTAATTTGAAACATAGTATAATATACTTTGCAAAGAAGTATCTGGGTCTAAAATTTTTAATTCTATACTGCTCTAATGAGACAGACAGACCATGATTTTGGTTCCATTTAAAGTCGTGTTTTTTTTTTTTTTTTTCTCATAACGCCAGGTAATTCAATGAAATACCTGGGATGCAAATAAAATCATGCACATTGGTGATAATAGTCTTGCCAATGTAGAGCCTAAAACCTGGTTGGGAAGCAACTAGTGATTAGTTAGCATCCCTTATATGTTGTAAAGGCAATTTGTTTATTTTGTTTTCTTTTGTTGTTTTGGAGACCTTGGAGGGGTGATCGTTCAGATCACTGTAGGCAGAGAAATGGCTGCCCTTTATGCTTTTAGTTCAGCATATTAACAGTGCAGAGCCAGGTACTACTTTAACAACACTTTGTACCAAGACTTGATGGTGACATATCCTAGTAGGTTTTATTCTTACAAATTTATTTATATTTATGTAAATTTTCCAATGAGAACAGCGTCTAAAGCGCCTTCCCTGTGTTGAAGAGTTATGTATATTTCTAATATGTATTAGCAAGAAGCTGCTTCTTGTGCCAAAGTGATGCTGAAGGATTCACATTTGGTACAGTTGATTCAATTTGGACTCCAGATGGTTAATAGTTTCTTTCCTTTCTTTGAATTTTTTAGCTCATCTTGACGCAGGTGAGTTTATCCAGATCTTTAATGTTGCTGGTGTGCCCTAGGATAATGAGGGCACGTCATTGAATGTTGACTCCAAAATGTCCTGAGTTAGGAGTAGGGCAAAGTCAGGGAAGGGTGTGAAGCACAGTAGAGAGTATTTATTTAAGAAAGTAAAGAACATTGATGTTGTAGCAAGGATCCGGTGCATTGTCATGATCCCATAAGAATTTTGGGAAGACAGTCCCTTTGAATCAGTCACCACGTTGGGTAATGACTTCTTTCTTGCTGATATTGTCTATGTGTCATTGTAAATATTCGTGTGTCCATGTTCCACTTTGGCTACTGGATGGCCATGTCACATGAGAAGATTTAATTCAAGTATTTATTCTTTAGCTGTGTCATTCAGATTTCTTTCAGGCTTGTGAATTGCACACCAACGTTTGAGTTTAACCACCTGATAATCACATCTATCCCTCCCCTGTGAAGCACATTCCATTGCTAAAAGAAATACAAAATTGCTTCCTGTTGTCTATATAACTGTTTTGATAGTTTGAGGTGTTTATCTATAGAGGATATTTCTCAGCTCAAAGATCATGTAAATAATTATATTCCTTTGCTCAGTGGGTTATTTCTAATGAGGCTGCCAGTTCGCAGAGATCCCATAATATCAGTTTTAAATAGCATAAACAGGAATTGCTACTATATAAAAATAAGTGCACATATGAGCAAAGACGAGGAACACAGATAATGGAAATCATTGGCATCAGGTAGGCAGGAATATGTGACTTATTTTCCTTTTGAAATTTTCTTTGATGTTGCTGTAATATTACTTTATAATAAATAAACATCAGAAAGGGAATTTTAGAAGCATAGAAAAGACTCCAGAGCACATGCTTTCTGGCCAGAGCCCAGAGCATGCAGGGCACAGACACTTGTGGGTTACAATTATTCCATAGGCTTTGTACTTACCTGCGTGTGAAGGTTAGCACAAGCAGAGGTATGGCACATCCCTTCTTAGGAGACTAATCCCTGTGTCAAAGCTAATGAGATGTTACTACTGTAACTCCAAATGTATTCTTCTTTAAAACAGGTGTCTATTTTTGGCTACTTTAGATAGAAGGGGTGACCATGTGTTTAACTCCCTTGGTTAGCATTTACATCTGGTACCACATTTCTGAGTCATTTTAGCAGATTTTCAAGTTCAACTTTGGGGTAATAAGAACTAGGGTAATAAAGTCCCTAGTTCTTACCATTGCCATGAGCAACAAGATGTATCATTCAGGTAGAATTCTTCTTTTAGTTACCAATGATCACATCCCACTGATGTCAAGAGAAATTATGATTTGCAATTAAAAGCTGACTCTAAAACCATTCAGACAGATATTTAGGATCGTCTCTGCTTGGTGGCATTCAGTTATGCTCCGATTAGTTCTGGCTTAAGATGATCTCCATGTGTTTTTACACTGCATAATTATAGGCTGTATGCAGGAAGTGTGACTTTCAGAGAAAGAGAGACCATCTACTAAAGAGAAGAATATCCTTCTAACTCACCAAAGAAACTTCAGGCTAGAACTTCAATAATATGTTACTTATCATCAATGCCTAGAAAAACTCACAGGATTGTCATTGGCTATTTTAAGTATAAAATGAAAGTCTCAAGCCTGCCATCTGCACCTGAATTCCATGTTCCTTTTCTGAGCTATTTGCCATTAACATTCAATTAAGTAAAGGCATAGCCAGTGGTGCAAGCATCTCCCAGTCTCTAAGCAAAAGGCTGAAATCCAGCATTTGTAACCTGACAGTCTAATGGGGCCTCAGATTCGAGTGAACTTAATGTGCAGTTCTGAATATATATTTGCATGTGGATTAGGAAGGAAATAAATGGGACCTTGGAAATAATGGGATTGTTTTTCTATGAAAGAGCTTTTCATAAAAGACACATAAGACAGATAATCTTTCTCTTAGTTAGCTTTCACTTTTTCATTTTTTTTGAACCACATTCCTGTAGTGGGTTAAATGAATGTAACCCAATTTATCAGGCATTAGAATGTCTGTTTAAGACTATAAAGAGTATCTACCTGAATCTGCAGGTGCGGGAACCATGACTACATCACCTCCACATGCACACTTCTGCATATAATTACCTATATTACTTGTAGCATTTACTGACAGTTAATTTGTTGAAACTTGCAAGATATAGTTGGTCAGTGCCATCAGAGTGTCCTGCAGAAACTGCTATCAGGTGAATTCTATCCCATGATACCAACAGTAAGGCAGGCAGCATGCTCAGCTGATCGAGTACCTAAGAAGAAAAATTAGTGACAATTTGAGAGAAATGAGTCAGATGTGGTGGAAAGAATACTGGCCTAGAAAGGAGACCTGGATTCTAATAAGGGCTTTATGAAAAACCTACAGCATAACCCTAGACAAGTCCCTTAACTTTTCTATTGATGTTTCCTCATCTGTAAAACAAAGATATCAGACTAACTGCTATCCAAGCTCTTTGCAAATTTCTACATTCTACAGCATAAATTGTCTTACAAATTCAATCTGCTGAACTGATAGCAAAACCACATGCTTAAGCCTGGGTCTCTTATGATGCAATGAAACTCTAGAACTACATAAGATGCAAAAACTCAAATAAATGATGTTAATAATACTAGAGAATATTGATTAAACTTGTGGCAGCCCTCCAGTTTATTCACAATTGTTTTTGTTGTAATGGTTTTTATTCTCTGTTGAATGTCCCCAGTTTTTATTTTCCATATACTATGTAAAACCTGGTTTTCATTGAGCTGTGGTCAGTATTTGCTACTAGAGGAGAAATACACTGTCACATTTGCTAAAATACAATTGTACTTGGGCCTCTCCTTTCCTGTAAAGCAGTGCTGGGCCTTCTAGATTTAAATTCATAAGTGGCACAAAATGGCAGATCTCATACATTTCAGTGGCTGAAAATACAAGTATAGACCTAAGCATTAGCACGGGCCAGAGAGAAATGAAAAAGTAAATATATGCTTTTGGTATTAAGAAGTCTTAACAAACTTAATTGTTGGAACCCAAAGATAGTATTTCCAATGACAGCTTTCCCAGTGATTAGCCAGTTGTGTGAGTATGCTGCTAGAAAGAGGATAAATCAGAAGCTAGTGAAGGGTCCCAACTGCCTGCTACAGCAGAGTGCCAAGCAGCCCTGAGTGGGAAACTCAAGTTCAGTGTCTGTGCTTGTGTGTGGTGTGCTTTATGGACCCACATATATTAGATTCATTAGTGACAATAAGATCTACAACAGAATTCAATAACCATTAATGGGTTGAGTTTAAAATACATCAGCCAGTAGGAGCCAGATTACAAGGATATTTATGTCTACTAGGATTATACACATAACATCCAGGTAAAATAAATTAAAGAAGATCTACATTTTCACTGTTTGACAGAATTGTATCTCATTTGGCTGTGCATTACTTTGTCAAAATGTGTTATCTGTAAACCCATGTGTAGTGAAATTCTTCTGTAACTTTGGATTAAAGGTATTTATGGTCTTTTTGTTTGTTTGATTTTTAAGTAAGTTATTTCTTTTGTAGGCTTGCTGATGGTATGGTTCCATCCTTATGCCTTCAGCATACAATCTTTTTTAAAGGATTTTTGTTTCCAATATTGTTATTTTAAATTGTGGTTGAAGCAATAGAAAATTGAAATATGGATTGTGCATGACTGTGTCTTGAGTGTAAAAATATTGCAGTTTGAAACTTGGACCTAAAGTATTGCAAATAAAAATGACAAATATCAATGAGCTTGTGCTTCTGTCTTCTGTCACCTTTCCGTCCACTCCTTTGGCACTGGCCATGTTAGCACTTTGCAGGTCAGAATCAGAACTGTCTTTCAAGCCCTTTGAGAAATACAGGAGATGCCCCACAGATTCTTCCTCTAAGTAGTAGCTGAAACTCAGGGTCTTCATCTAGCTTTTACATGCCTTAACTCAGAGACAAATAGATACATTCAATGCAGAGTGCAAGCTTGATAAATCCTAAAGGTAGCAGCTGGCTAGAGTAAAAATGCCCAAAGGAGCCGGGGAGATGGCTCAGTAGAATAAGTGCTTGCCTGGCAAGCTCAAGGGCCTGAGTTCAATCCCTGGTTCTGCCAAAAAAAACGCCCAAAGAAAGAAGATGCCATAAATGATTTTACTTTGATTATCTTTTTACTTGGAAGATTCTAAACACATAAAGTCATCTTGATAATGCTTAGTTTTGTCTAATAGCTGGTATGAAAATTTTCAGGACATGAGATTTTAAACACAGATTCCTGAAAGTTTTCATTCACTTATTCATTTGTTCTTTTAAAAAGTATTTTTGATCTTCTGCTATGTGACAGACACTGTGGACATTTCTACTAGAGATAAATTTTCTATTGAAAATCACTTCTAGGACTGAAGAGATAGCTTAGCAGACTAAAGTGCTTGCTTAGGCAAGCGCAGGTACCATGGTTTGATCCCCAGCACCATATCTTGTGCCAGCCCCACTCCCATGGCAGGCTGAGCTGAAGGGGGAAAAACAAACAAAAAAAGACAATCACCTCTAAATGTGACTAAATGAAAACTCATTTAGTTGAGTTGAAAACTTTTAGATGCATTGTTAGAATCATAGTTGAGTTGAAAACTTAGATGCACCTGTTAAAATCGTATTTGTCATTCAAAAACACCAAATTTAGCAAACTGGAGCTTTATTCCACAAATATTACAGTGACCATAGTGCTACTTTTGGAATATATATATATATATATATATATATATATATATATCTTTGTGTCCTTGCATACACAATGGTACTGTCCTCTCTCAAATTTATATTTTACCAAATAAATGTTAATTTTCTTATTTTGTAGTTTGCTGTACTTAGATGAAAGCTTTAGTTTTATATTGTATCTCTCCATGTCAAAAGTTAGAGAAACTCTGTACATAAAATGAGGCAAATGAATGAGAGACCTAGAAATTTTTTTTTCAGAACTGGGGATTGAACTCAGGTCCTTGAGCTTGCCAGGGAAGCGCTTACTCCACTGAGCCATCTCCGGGGCCCAGACCTAGCACTTTCAATCACAATCTCAGATGGGCATGTGCATAAAGTCCTTTATTGCCTTGTCCTGTGTTAGCCTTACATCCTTCCTTTGCAGGACTTTTCAACTACTTTTTGTCCCAATTAAATTAAGAAGCACCTTTTATGCTTTAGCAAATTATCAATATGTCCCTTCAGAAAAGAAAAATTTAAAGAGCATTTCTTGTTAGCACACTAGTTCAGAAGACCAAGGTCCAAGATTATTATTCTATAGATTGGCTCTACCAGCTTGGTTTTTGAAACTTTACACTTGTCTCCTGCTACAATGGGAGGGGATACCACCTGAAGGACCCTGAAAATTATGATTGTTCTGCACCTTCTCAGTGGTCTCAGCCTCAAACAGGCACACATACACACACACACACACACACACACACACACACACACACACCTGTTGTAGTTTTATAGCAGGTACTTTTCCTTACTTCACAGCAGAAACCCCTACCATGGAATCAAATCATTTAGTTGCATCTTTGGAACCACTTTGGTGCTTCTTTTTCAGTTCTTCACACTCATTGGAATGGCAAAAATTTCAGCTTCGACTTCCCCCTCTCCTCACCTGGGCTTGTCTGGTTGATGATTTGCAGCCCCTTTCAGGCCCACCATCTCCCATGAAGGTTAATTTGAAGCTTGATGTAACTATCGCTGTACACACTCTACACATCCTTCCAAGCATCTGAGCTTGGTGGAAAAAAGAAAAAATGGTGATTGAGTTCCATTATTCATGGACTTTCATATATTACCTGAAGTACATTGGTCCTACATCTTTGAGAGATATATTTCCACAAAGTGAAAAGCAAGACTACCTTTCCACTGAAGAGAAAGAGGTAGAATGGAAAAGAAATATCTCTTACAACTACATGTAGGCCTACACTTATCTCAACAAACTTTGCAATAAGAAAAAATAAAGTAGATTTCCTTTGTGAAATTTCAGAGGTCATACTAACCAGATAAGACACAAGTGATATCATGTCCCAACCCAGTTCTACCACCACCCTCCCAGTTCCCTTGGTATCAAAATGTTCCTCACTAATTTCATCTGTTGCCAGCCCTATTAGCATACGTGACAGGACTTCCAACATTCTCTTGGGGGTACTTCTTGGGTCTCATTCAGGAAGCAGAAAATTCAAATATTGGTTATGAGTTCCTCCCTGTAGACATGGATCAACTGGCTTCTTGGCCTCTGTTATCACACAAGACCAAAATTCATAAGGAGCTACTTTTAATTTCACAACATATAAAACTGAATTGCTTTATTTTTAAATAAGAGGCCAATGCCACATTATAGCCATTTTATATTACAGAACAAAGCTCTTAATAATGTACTTAAAGGGCCACAGTAGACACAAGTTACAAGCTTCCCTGGGGTTTCCACATTTTCCTTCTTAATCTATATTGAACAAATATAAGTAAATTCAAAACCCTTTCACACTAAAGCTGATATAGATGACATAATTCAGACATTTCAATTCACTTAAGGTGTAATTACTTCTCTCTTATCTAATAAAGAATAGAGATTGCCAAACTACTTAATGAATTAATTTTATTAATAAATTAATAAAATATTGATAAATTTAAATTATTGATAAATTATATTAATAAAGTAGTAAAATTTTAATTCCTAGTATTATTGGTCCACTGCCAACTTCAACAATGATTTTTGTTTTGATTTTCATTGTACTGTATTTGGTAAACTGTTTTTCACCTGAAAGAAAAGTACATATATCACAATCCTCTTTCGAGGTATTTCTATCATAAGACTTGACTACTGAAAAGACAATAATTATCTCCATAGCACCACATAAAAACTAAAGCTTTCATTTCCTTACTACCATCTGTACCGTAAGGACTACCATGTTGGCTGTACTGGACCTATGTACTCTCTAGACCCTCCACAACCCATAGTTCTCCTGAGGGTATAGGTGAGGCTCAGTACATAATTACAGACTTATTGGCCCATAAGCCTGTGTGCCCAGCTGAGTGCACCTTACTTCTTGATATGTTCACATTTTCTACCAGCTTTCTCTCTACTGTTTTGGCATTGCACATGAAGAAGTATACCTCCACATACACATCATAATGGTTCATTTCACATTATGTTCTCCCCCATCACGTGCCTGGCTGTGGCTGAGGAAGCACCTGCAGCTATAGAAGCAAAGCCAAGTTTGACCTCTCAACCTCTTAAGTGTCTGAGAATTAATGAATAAATTCTACCTGGAGGGCCACTTACTTTGCTAGCCTATGTTTACATGGTGGCCTGACAGTTTTCCTTTAGATTCTTATTGGCTGGAGTATACATTGTGGTGCACAGGGATAGATTCACCCCATTTTTTTCCCTGTTGATAAACAAGGCAGGCATTTTGCACTCATCAGAGAGACTCTTGCTTCTATGAACACACTCTAGTAGAACAATTGTGTTTATTCCATTCGAGTTTATTGCAAAATGCTTTGCAAGCCATCCTGCATATTTCTGGTAGCTTTCAATTAGTCTATTATATCAGGTTGCTAAGTTTCTCTATCTGTTAGTGCCTCTCCAATAGAAAAAGTCTCTGGACAGTGGAGTTTCTCACTGAAAGTAAAATTATGACATCATTTCTACCACTGTGGTCTCAAAAGTGCTTGATTGATATGGGTCCTCACTGTACGTTTTGCTTTTGCTCTGAGGTATGGCTCCTCCTTAGGTAACCACGCAATTAAGAGTTTAGATGTTTAGAGCTACAACATTTCTTTTGTAAGCATTGTTTTCCTCATTTGAAAAGGTAATAAAAATACACCATTTTTTATATTGAGGTATGTATTCGGTACAGGGTGTCACTATGTAGCTTGGACTCATAGTGGTCCTCCTGTTTTCATCCTCCACGCCCAGTCTCAGTGGCTGGCTCAGGGTGCCCAGGGTGGGGCTGACCAGCATGATCAAGGTTTTTAAAGTACTAAAAAATTAAGCTATCAATGTGCTGTTTTACCACAGAGCAGTGATACAATACTGTTATATATTATTATTATTATTATTATTATTATTATTATTATTATTATATCAAGATTAGCTTTTTTAAAATCTTGGTGGATTAGAATACTTTCAATAGTAATCACTACTCTGAGTGAATGTTAGGCATGGATTGAAAGGCAGAATTTCTTCCATAATACTTTAACCATTATTAGAGATCTTTTGGTCCTGAGTGGGACAAATACATGTGGGTACTTGGAGGAGAACCATGAACAATGCAGACAATTATTGAGTTATTACTATCTTCTTAGGGATGCTTGCACTACTGGAGCTAGCATTCATTTGAGAAGGGTTGGAAAATAGGAATAGTAAATAAATAAATGCTTGAATCTGAAAGAAGTTGATAAATGTTACAAAGCAAAGCACCAAGAATGCAGTTCAGAAGTTGTGGTGGGAGAAGTTCAGTTTAAGTGGTGTGATCAAGACAGACCTCACTGAAACATAAAAACATGAGCAAATTCTTGAAGAAAGTAAAGCATGAGGGTGTGGATTTGTGAGAGAAGAGCTTCCTATCAGAAGTAAGATTACACCACAGAGGCTCTGGGGCAAATGCATTCCTGAATTAAGACCCCAGTTAAAATCATGCAGTTTTCCTGATTTTAAATTATGCTTCAATGAAGCTGAAACTTTTAAAAGAAACTGGATGATA